CTGAGCTCGTCTTAATCTTCTTTTCTTCATTCGTTCTGTTTCTTTTCTCCCCAAGAATTTGCAGTTGCAGACCGCGAAGATACTCGGAGGGGAAGGTCAAGTGTATAAGTGTATTTAACGAACGGAGACTGAGGAGGAGTATCTTGAATTGCTAAATCAACCGGATAATCTCATCGCAATAAACCCTAACGAGAAACCTGAGGTTCGAGTTATTATTCCTCTGCTTTCTTGAACCGCAAGTAATACTAGTGAGTAAAAACGTTTTACATTGGATACTTAGATCTGAATCTTGCATGCTCATGTTGAATATTTAGCTGTCAAACAATGCAAAGGGAAACTCTGTCTGTCACAAATAGTGACCTTCTAGAAACTGTGGCTACTTATTTTAGCGATAGCACTCTAGTGGCGTTGTATATTGTGTCCGGAACGGGTTACATATCTGATGCTATACTGAGACCAGAAAATGCTCAGAACCAGTGGAGAAGATATCAAGTAAGAAGTCATATAGCTAGTTATTAGTTTCCAAAAACCTGTTCTAGATCTTTTTTTTTTTTTTTTTTTTGAACTGACTGTTCTAGATCTTGACATAACAATGTTTACAAATAGGGGCATCGAAGGATAGTTAGCATATTTTGTCATTTCCAACCTACCAACCAATCCCCATGGCTTTGTTCGCATNGGACGACTTAGTTTAAAGTCGTCTGGGCAGACGACTTGCGAGGGCTAAAAACGTCAAAAAAAAACTCTTTTTTTGTTTGTTCACAAGGGGTTGGTTGTAATTTCAACAGCCTTTTAAGTTACTTTTGCATTTGATTCAAGTTTGGGTTTACTTTTGCATTTCAAATCAAGTTTTGAGTCATATTTGGCAATTTTCCCAAGTTCTAATTATGTTAAATATTTTCGATACATAAAAAATTTCATGTATAAATGAAAGTCTTCCAAGAAGCCTATATAACATAAATTATTCACTTTGAAGACTTACATTGAAGTTTTCAAGTATATTATTTGTTAGAAAAATTTTCAAAAGTCTTCCAAACTCTACAATCAAGTAACTAACTAAATCTAAAAAAAAACTTTAGTAAACCTAAAATCAACTTATAAAATGTTTGATATACAGAAAACTAAACACATATATGTCAAATTCCGATATTTTTTTTTAAAAATATTAAGATTCTAAAATCTAACCTTAAAAATACAAACAATACTATAACATATGCTACCAAACTTTCAACCAAAGAATATCTTCACTCAATCTACATTCACTCATCTATATTGAAATTTTTTTTATTAAATCTAAGTTTACATCACTTACAAATGTCTACAATAAGATGATTATGAGTTTTTCCCTATAAAATATTTTTTTAGGAAATTTATAAATTATTTTAAGATCTGATATATGAGAAGACTTCTTCTGGAAGATTATTAGAAGATTTGACAATAGAGAGGAAACTTAAATTCTTTGAAAAATTAAGTGGGAAATAGTAGACTATGTTGTTAAATCTTCCAGAGCATTATATCTTAGAAATTTAAGTCTTCCAAACTGCCAAAATTAAATATATAACTAAATCACAAACAAAAACTTATTAAACCTAAAATCAACTTATAAAGTGTTTAATAATACACAAAACTAAACACATATAGTTCAATTTTTTTTAAAAAAGTTAAAGATTCCGCAATCCAACCCTAAAAACACAAACAATACACCAAACCCTCTCTATTAGCAAAAGTGGATGCATTGCAAAAGTAATATAAAAACAAAAAAAACAAATATCTTTCTAACCAACGAACAGTAATCGCGTCTTCTCTCTGAGCTCGTCTTAATCTTCTTTTCTTCATTCGTTCTGTTTCTTTTCTCCCCAAGAATTTGCAGTTGCAGACCGCGAAGATACTCGGAGGGGAAGGTCAAGTGTATAAGTGTATTTAACGAACGGAGACTGAGGAGGAGTATCTTGAATTGCTAAATCAACCGGATAATCTCATCGCAATAAACCCTAACGAGAAACCTNGAGAAGATATCAAGTAAGAAGTCATATAGCTAGTTATTAGTTTCCAAAAACCTGTTCTAGATCTTTTTTTTTTTTTTTTTTTTGAACTGACTGTTCTAGATCTTGACATAACAATGTTTACAAATAGGGGCATCGAAGGATAGTTAGCATATTTTGTCATTTCCAACCTACCAACCAATCCCCATGGCTTTGTTCGCATTCAGCTTGAAAGTGTGGACCCTGACTGGGAGACTGCCATAGAGGTCCATAGCCACTCGGCTCTTCACTTCCAGCACTGTTATAGTAAGGCTAAGAGTTTCATTTTCTTAAGATTATTTTTTTAGATTTTTCAATGCTAATTGTGCACTTTTCCAAACAGCTGAATTAATGTGTGATTAGAAGACCACCTGTAGTGTTTGGGAGAAGGAGGATTCAAGCTGATCGTCCCTGAAAAATAACCTGCAGAGATCTAGAAGAGGATACGTACAAGTCATGGTGTCATTGTTTTTGAAAACGGTTTCTCATTTTTTTCCTCTGTTTTTCAAAACATTTTAGTACAAAACAGAAGACTAGACATTCGGTAAACAAACTAGAGCTTTTGTATATTTTTAATTGAGAGCATATACAATGGACAGTTATAACTAATTTGCTAGTATGATATAACCCAATATCTTTGCATAATAGCCATGCACTTGAAGATTGGTAGATAAATACATATTATTGTGTTGGAAGTTGTGAATTATATATATATATATATATAAAAAAAAAAAATTTCTTCTGATTTTCCAATGCTTTGAATCTTTAAAAAAGAAAATCAGTTTTCAAATCCGATTACAACAAATAAAAAACAACTTATTCCCGAGACTTAAGTTCTTCAGATAGCATAAACTCACACTTGAAGTCCAGTCCTTAGTAGAGCAGTTCCTGGAACACAGGATCTACGCTTTGTCCCCATTCTCCATTGTACATTTCCAAGAGATTCTCCGCATGTGTAACTCCTGTCATATCGAAACCGAAACTTTCACCATCAAGTTATATAAGTAAGAGATGTCGGATCCAATGATAGAGAAACGTCACTTACCTGTTCTGGCCACTTCAGCGACAGCGTTCAAGAAACCAGCTTCCTTGTAGCCTCTACACTCTAAACCATCCTAAGGTACAAAAGAAACAATGAAACTGTAGTTAGGCACTTAACTGAAGTGGATAGTTATCTGGTCTGAAGTGCTTATGATTATGAACATACCTTGGCGAGTTTCAGGACATCTTCAGCGACATGCTTCAACAAACCGTCTCTAAATGGAGTCTTTAAACCAGTTACTGGAACCTGTTGCAGAATCAAGATTTGGTTTAATAGGAGATGTTTTCTAACACTGTGGAATAAAAGAGAATATAAATGTGGCTCGTCTCGTTATTACTTTGTTCCTTAGCATCTCTCTTTCGCTGGAGTCCAGTCAGCTATCATATCCAATATAGCTTGGACCTCATCATATAATAAACCCACCTGAAGTTTGAAAAAAGTATCAAAACAGTGGCTGGTACATCTTAAAATCAGAGAACTCATGAAGCAAGAGTATATATATATATAAGGTAGTAGATGTAATTACCCAGAAAGCTGGAAGGGCGCAGAGTCTCCTCCAGGGACCTCCATCCGCACCTCTCATCTCCAAATATCTCTTCAACCGAACCTATTAATGTTAAAGCTCCATATAAGACATGGAACTGAAAGTCACTGGCTTTTTAATGGATTCTTAAGGCATAGATGATGAATCTCTGGGAAGATTGTTGTCAGATGATTTTCCCAATCATTATATATGTTGGGGAGACAAGACACCTTTCCAGCCAAAAATTGCTGCAGGATTAAGAGAATGATTTGGTTTGTAAATGGCTCAAGAAGATCCCATGGTTTTTAACTTTCCCTGAAAAGAGTTAAAACATTCTAATAGAAAAGATTAAAGATAGATTTTGACCTAGATGTCATTCCAGTACAGTCTACGTATTTCTTGTTTCTATAGGCGAAGTACATAGGGAAAGAGATGTCCATTGGGCTGTCCATGTCCATTGGGCAAGTCCAAATGGACACAACAGTTTATTGGACATTATTTTTTTTAAGACCAAATTGTACCAAGTCCAAATTGTCCAAACCAAATTGGACCATTCTAAATGAACCTTGCACAAAGTCCAAATAAATTTTCTACTTCTAAAGCCCAAATATCTTAAAATCTATTAAGAGTCATATGTTTTACAAATTCAAAACATAGATAATCATATACAATAAGATTCATATGTTTGCAAATTCAAAGCATAGATAATTTCATAAAATTCAAACCATTACAAATAAAGTTTATATAATCCAAAGCATAAGTATATACATAAGAAACATAATAAAGATGAAGTTCTTATGGTCATCTTCTTCTTATCTTCTCAGTCTCTCCTATGAAAATGAAACGTACTCATGTTACATCAATTTAGTCGTAAGAAACGTACTCATGTTACATCAATTTAGTCGTATGAGAAACCATCTTCTCCAATCAGATTTTCTACTTATGAATAAAACCAAGACAGATCAACCTTACAGTCATTTCAGAACCACTTGAATCACAGCAAAACTCAACACTAATATATAGAACAAGGAACTGAAAAAACTGAGAGAGACCATTAAGCTCTAGAAAGAAAGAAAGACAGATTGGCTAATCATCAACCTTAACAGTATCATAAGCACAGCATTGCAGATGATCCACAGAACTCTTTCTGAATAAAATTAAGATAACCTAAACCTCTAATAGCAGAACTCACCTTCCTTAAACAATGCGTAGTCAACATACTGCTCAAACCTTTTACCAGATAAGAACAAAAGACAGAGTAGAAAAAGTATTAGCAACGCTGTTTCAACAAGTATTAGCTCGAGTTTCTCACAGCTTGCAAAGCAAGACCAGCACGCAAACTTCCTGATCATATCAGCTTCTGAACTGAGATCCAGAGTGACCTATCAAGAATGAATGTAAGGCGGTTTCTATAAGTTCAGCATAAGTTTAGTTGAAAGAACTTCTAAAAAGTGACGAAAAGTCATCTAACCTGGACAGTACACGTTCGAAGCATCATATTAAGTCCAAGGGAATACGTTATATAAGATATTTACTGCCAGATCCGCCATCATATAAAATGATAATAGTAAAACTTTATATAAACAACAATAAGATGCACATAAAGTTGCCCATGTAGAACCAGATATCTGAATTAGCTACCAAAAGATAGAAACCTTTTCCAATAATGCCTCATACCTTTGGCATGATGGGTATATCCTCCCTATGCCATTTAGGATAAAAACTGATTCCCAAGAAACCAATTCCCATTTCCTCAGCGACAGCTTTTACCTGTTGATATCAATAGAGAGTTGAATGTGTGTCGCATCTTAGGCTAAGAGTATTGACGATTACTATCTCTTAAATTACCTGATAAAGATGTGAACTGACTTGGCACAGGTTTGATGCAGAGTCTCAAGAGGTGCACCACTAAGCTTAAATTGAACCCCAGGTTCAAATGAAATGCTTTGTTTCCCCTGATCAACAAAAGGAATAGTTAGAAGTGACTCCACATAACAACAATGATGCAAAAAAAAACTTATGATCATCCTTGTTTTCCGCATTATTGTTTTTATTTGGAGTCACTTCTAACATTAAATAAACTTAATCGTCTACCGTCTTTCCATGATTTTCTTCCATTCAAATCTTTCAGCGATACTGTTAAGAAGCTCAGCTATTTATTTGATCATACTTCAGAGTATTGACTTCAAAACCAGATTTCTCATGTTTTGTTCCTATTATACAATGGAGTTAGCGAAATGGAGTATTATTCCAAACAGAAAAAACTAAACAGTACCTCCATTTATCCTTTGATTTGCAACAAAAGGCGAGATAGGAAATGAGATCATATCATAAACACTGATATGAGATTAAAAGCTAATCGTTTCATCATTATATATCTTCATGTAACTATCAAATTATATATCTACGGTTATCATCTCGGTATAAACTACAAATATCTTCATGTAACTATCATCATTAAGAGCAAAATCCAAATCAGAGCAACAAACTCTGCAGAATTCGACTATATCCAAGGCAATAACTATGAGAATCGAGAAAAATATGGAAAACCAACGAAGAAGAAAGAAATAATCACGGACCAAGAAGAAGAAGGGGACCTAAATTCGTCAACGTTGGTATCGATTGTGTTTGAACCGAAACCGGTGTGTTTGTTGAATTCATTCAATGAAAGATCTAAAGATTAGATCTTTGAGGCTTAGGAGAAATCTCAATGAAATCAAATGGGAAGAACAACATCAAAGAGAGTTTTATTGACTAAAGATTCATTACAAGTATGATTACAAGTGTAAAGTGAATCTAAGAATCCATAAATCTCTATAAGAAAGTGTTGTAGATCTAAGAAGAGGTCAAGATCCTCTTCTAAGAAGGATATAGCTCTCCATTTATAGAAGAATGATGTCTAGGGTTTTCTAGTGAAGTGGGCTTAATTCCTTGTCTAATGGGCCTTGAGGGAGGATAATAATCCACCCCCAACAGATTGAAAGATAAAAGATAGAAGCAAGAAAGAACGCTAATCTTTTCACCAACTTTGCATCGGCTTCGTCTGCTTTTATATCCGAAAAAGATGAAGTCAAATAAAATAATAAAAAAAATTAAATGAAATGAAATGAAATGGTTGTTTACTCTCTCTCTCTCTCTCTTTTTGAGCATGAAACGGTTGGATCAAATGCTGAAATGGACCACATGGTCAAAAAATAATCTCAAATTAGACCCATCCCTTTTTTGTTTTATTTTACAATTAAATTTAAATAGAAATTTTAGTGATATAACTAAAAATCCTAAGGACTTAAACTTATTTACTAACCTATGCCACTATTATCCCACCCAATATCCGACACAGATCCAGATCCAAAAACCCACCCAATCTCTTTCTTCTTCCTTTTTTCTTCTTCATTCAAAGTTCTTTCACCATGAAACAAAATCAAAAAAATTCTCCAATCATCCACTAATTTTCTTTCTCTTATCTTAAATCGACCAGTCCATGATCATATTTACTCAATTCTCTTTGACTCTTCTCCCTCTCTCTCTTCTCTGCCCTACACTCCATATCCGATGGATTCATTCATTCAAAGTCTTCAAGATAAAATCGATTCAAGCAATAAGATAATAGAAGATCAAAAGATTGCTTTGGAAAATCTGCAGATGAGTAACAAGGTAATCCATTCTTTCTAACGATATGCTTCTTTGTTTAACTATCTGATCCTCTATTTAACGATCTCTGATGTTGTTTAATCCTGTAGAATATCATAAGGTGGCGTTAGAAAATCTACAGAAGGATAAGGAGGTAATCAATTTTGTCTAATGATCTGATCCTATGTCGTTTTTACTATCTGTCTAGCTATCTTTTTTAATGATCGGATCCTTTGTCTAATAGCATGTTTGATTCTCTATAGCTATCTGATTTAATGAACTAATCCTTTACTGGCGTTTTTGATTGTGTAAACTTGTAAGAATCTGATCCTATATCTTATGGCATTTTCAATTCTGTATAGCTATATGTTTTAATGATCTGTTCCTTAGCCTAATAGCGTTTTTTATTCTCTCTAGCTATATGATTGAATGATCTGATCTTTTCTGGCGTTTTTGATTGTATAATCTTGTAGGAATTAGAAAATCAAGTGGCGGATCTGAGAGATGAGTCTCAAGAGCTACACGAGGAAGTAGTCTCAAAGGATAAGGTCATACTTGAACAAAAGACTGATTTGGCAAATACAATCACCATCTGGCTTTATTGCTAAGAGATCGACCATTTCTAAACAAAAGGAAGCTTTGGATAAACTGGTAATCAGTTTTATCATCATATTCGTTCTTATGTTGTCAAATGGTGTTGCATAGTTACATACTCAAACAACAAGCTAAAGATAACCTTTATTTGTGGTCTTATTAATATACTTGGACTTATCACTGCACAAATGTTGAACAACACAGTCACACGCATTTCGGTAGTTTAATTGACTTGATTGTAAAGCTTTTCCAGTAGCTATCTTTCTTTTTAGAAATCTTTTCATAGTATTTTTTCTTTCTTTAGTTAGAAAAATGCACTCTGCATTGTAATAAATTCATATTTTTCAGAATTTGTTTGTGGAATAAATGATATTACAGAGTAATAATTAAGGGATAAATTCATACTTTCACAATTAAGTAAGCATTAACAGAGACATAACTATACAGAGTAAGAACTAAGAGAAAAATTCATACTTTTCAGAATTAAGTAAGAATTAACAGAGACATAAATTTACATACATATACTAACACACATGTTGAGATACACTGAAGATCATTTTACTTTGTTACAAATTGGCAGGCAAGCAAACAAAATTCTTTGTTTATATATTGACTATAAAGTATAAAATAACTTGGTAAACAAAGAATGTTTCCCATGCGTTTACCCAAGGATTAGTTTTGTAATGCATAGTATTTTTTCAAACTCATTGATGATTGTTTTTTTGTTTTGTTTCTGAATGAATATATGTGACCAAAAGAGCTAAATGTACACCTTCTAGGTTTTTCTAGGTGAAATAAAATTGCATACAAATAATAAAGAAAATCATTTTTAAAAATGAAAATTAATTGCATTCAAGAAACCAGCTTCCTTGTAGCCTCTACGCTCTAAACCATCCTTAGGTAGAAGAAACACATTAGTATTTATAGCTATCTGGCTTGAAGTTTTCTAAGAGAGTGCTTATTATTATGAGAATACCTTTGCGAGTTTGATGACATCTTCAGTGACATGCTTCAACAAACCATCTCTAAACGGAGTCTTTAAACCAGTTAGTGGAACATGTTGCAAAATCAAGAACTGGTTGAAGAGGAGATGTTTTCTAATATTGTACTAAGAGATTGTGGCTTGTCTCTGTATTACTTTGTTCCTTAGTATCTCTCTTTCTTCTGGAGTCCAGTCAGCTATCATATCCAAGATAGATTGGAGAACGTCCTCATCATATAACAAACCCACCTGAGATTACAGAAAATATTGAAACAATGGCTGGTATAACTTAAAATCGGAGACTCATGAAGTGAGAGTATATATTCACTTTGGAGGAGCTTCTGGATGAGGAAGACATTATCCAAGAATGCAGAGCTTTGTACCTCTCATCTCCAAGTATCTGTTCAACCGAACCTATTAATGTTAAAGCTCAATACAAGACATGGAACTTTAAACTCACTGGCTTTTTTAATGGACTTTCGAGGTTGATGATAAACCTCTGGGAATAGTGTAGTCATATGATTTTCCCAATCATTATATGTCGGTAGTTCACCGGGGAGACAAGGAAGCTTTCCAGCCAAAAATTGCTGCAAGATGAAGAAACTGATTTGGTTCATAAATGGCTTAAGAAGATCCTATAGTTTTCAATTTGTTATTGTAAGACAAGATTTAAGGATTGATTCTGACCTAAATGTCATTCCAGTACAGTCTATGTATTTCTTGTTTCTGTAGGCAAAGTACATAGGGACATCAAGTGCATGGTCAACATACTGCACAAACCTATACCAACCAGAGAAGAGCCAAAAGACAGAGTAGTACAAGTAAGTATTAGCAAAGCTGCTTCATGAGAAATGAATATCCAAAATCATCATATAAGAGCATCCACACATATTAGCATACTTTATTAATCTATAATGCCAAACAGAGTCTTGTTTTATTTTTACAAGCTTCTCATCTTAAACTAACCAATGCAAAGCTTGTTCTTGTATAAACAAGTTCATACTAAAGAGTCAATGAAAACAAACGGTAGCATTCTTGTGCGGTCCTTGTCAGTTTCCGTCCAAACGTACAATAGTTATAATATGGAAGAGAAAAAATATACTGGATAATGAAAATTAGATCTAGAAACCTTCTCATGCTGAGAAACCGTTTGTCCTTCCTTCAGTAAAAGGGGAATTTGCAAATAAATCCATTGCTATATGTCGAGTTTGTATAAAATTGAGGCAATTGTTATAAAAAGTTCCTGGTTATGCCATAAAATTGCTAGAGTTTTTCAAGGGTTGCAAAGCAAGACCAGCACAAAACTTCTTGATCATAACAGCTTCTGAGCTGAAATCCAGACTAACCTATCAAAAATGCATGTAAGGTGGTTTGTATAAGTTTCAACATAACTTTAGTTGAAAGTACTTCTAAAAAAAAAGACAGAACAATCATCTAACCTGAAAAATACACGTTCGAAGCATCATATCAAGTCCATGGAAACCAACTTTGGGGATGTAGTTTCTCATTATGTCACATCTTCCTTGCACAGAACACAATATATTAATATCTTACTGCCAGATCCGCTATCGAAAAAAACTGATAATAGTAAAACATTATGGAAACAACAATAAGATACACATAAAGTTGGCGACATCGAACAAGATATCTCAATTAGCTAAAAAAAGTTGGAAACTTTTTCCAGTAATGCCTCATACCTTTGGCATGATGGGTTAGAAACCAATTTGGGCTGGAAATCAATTCCCAAGAAACCAATTCCCATTTCCTCAGCAACAGCTTTTACCTGTTGATATCAATAGAGAGTTCATTGTTTGTCACATCTTAAGGTAAGAGTACTAGCAATTATAAGCTCTCAAAATTACCTAATAAAGGTGTGAACTGACTTCAGCACATGTTTGATGCAGAGTCTCAAGAGGTGCACCACTAAGCTCAAATTGACCCTAGATTCAAGTGAAATGCTTTGTTTCCCCTGATCAACAAAAGGGATGGAATTATCTATTCCAAAACCAAAAAGGGGAAACATAAATTTCTAATATCTACTATCTACTATCACTGTGTCCTATATCACACTACTATGTAGGGCTAGTCATGAGAAAAACCAAATGAAACCATCTGGAGATAGTTCAACAGACTATAAAGCAAACAAAGGTGAGAGTAAATTCCTCTTCAAAGCTCTTCTCATGAGAGCTTGGTCATATGGAAAACCAGACAATAAAGAAAAAAAACTTGCGAGAGAAGTCCCCTTATGAGGTCCTTTCACTGAGACCTTCGGTTTCTGAACTATCTACCGATCAAGCTGATATGATTCAACGAACAGTGACTCAACAAGTTCAGAAGGTTAGAAGTGACTCCAAAATAACAACAATGATGCAAAAAAACTTTTTGATCATCCACGTTTTCGCATCATTTTTGTTATTTCGAGTCACTTCTAACTATTCTGAACTTGTTGAATCACTGTCCGCTGATCATCTTCGTTTTCTGCATCATTGTTGTTATTTGAAGTCACTTCTAACTCTTTTGAACTTTTTGAGTCACTGTCTGCTTATCATCCTCATTTTCCGCATCATTGTTGTTATTTGGAGTCACTTCTAACACTAAATAAAACGTCTACGTCCTTCCATGACTTTCTCCCATTCAAATATTTCAGCAATACTGTTAAGAAGCTCGGCTATTTGATCATACTTCATAGGGCATAGAGTATTGACTTCAAAACCAAATTTCTCATGTTATGTACCTATTCTGCAAACTCATAACGTCAAAGTTAGTGAAATGGAGTACTATTCCAAACAGATAAAACTAAACACGTACCTCCATTTATCCTTTGATTTGCAAACGGAGGCGAGATAGGCAATGAGATCATATCATAAACACTGATATGAGATTAAAAGCTAAACAACTTTAGGCTTCTGCTAGTCATTTCATCATTATATATCTTCATGTAACTATCAAACAAGAAAATGACTTGTTGGTCTCACTTTTTATCTTGTTTTCTCCACAAAGTCTAAATGCACTCTCTGAAAAAACAAAATGAAATGAAACGGTTGTTTACTCTCTCTCTCTCTCTCTCTCTCTCTCTCTCTCTCTCTCTCTCTCTCTCTCTCTCTCTCTCTCTCTCTCTCTCTCCATCTGAAACAAAACGATAATAATAATAAACAAAATGAAATGAAACGGTTTTTATACTCTCTCTCTAAAATAAAATAATAGTAATAAACAAAATGAAATAGAAGCAAATTCGAAATCAGAGCAAAAAATCTGCAGAATTCAACTCCAACCAAAGCAATAACTATGAGAGTCGAGAAAAAAATCTGAAAACCAAGGAAGAGAAATAAATAGTCACGGGCCGCGAAGAAGAAGAAGAAGGGGACCTAAATTCGTTAATGGTAAGAAAGAAGGAAAATCTTTGCATTGGCGTCGCCTTCTTTTATAACCGAAAATAGCGAGATGATGTCAAATAAATAATTAAAAAATAAATGAAATGAAATAAACGGTTATTGATAAGCAATTTTAATTAGAATTTTTTTGTTGATCATCTTGTTAATCATTTTGTTAGTTAACAGTAGGTCTAAAATGACTTATAAAGAAGTTGATGATTTTTTTGGCAAAAATAAAAATCAACAATTTTATAAAATATTAGATTATTAAATATTGAAAATATTTTTACAATGACTATAACACTAATAAATAAAATTATAAATAAGAAATATTTATAACCAAAAATAGAAAAGTTTTCACTTTCTCAAAATATTTTTTCTATAATTTTATTATTGAGTATTTAGTTACACAATGATTATGAATAAAATATATAATTATTTAGGATCAATTTTTCTACTATTTATATAATTCTCTTTGGATTTTATTATATAATTTTTCTGTCAATGTTAATTTAGTAAAATATTAATTAGCCTTGTGATTCTCAAATGAAAAAAGTTATCGATTTGATGGATTCTTCATGATTCTTTATATTTATAATTAATTTCTGCAAAATAAAATTATTAAGTTTCACCGAAAACTATTATGTTCTAAAATGTTCCTAAATCAACGGAATCATGAAGAATCAATTTACCCTTAAATTTCTTCTTATGATTATAAAATATATTAATTTATTATAAACAAGATAATAAATTAACAAAAGTTATGAAACATAATATAACTAGAACTATATGAATAGTTACGAAAAAGATATAATTATCTTAAATAGTTATAAATATTTTTAATAATTATAGTTATTCAATCATTTAGTCTAAAACTATAATCTAATTAATTGAAAAACTTTTAGTTTATATTTGTGCCAAAAATATCTTCAATCTTAAAAGACATTTTATAAATGCTAATAGTTGTTGGGGTCAAAATCGGTACGACGGAATTAATAGCCAAAACTTTCCGCAAGAATACAAAATGAACAGTTTTATAAAACTTGAGAAATCGTTTTATAAAGCTCGAGAATCGTTTTATAAAGCTCGAGAATCGTTTTATAAAACTCGAGAATCGTTTTATAAAACTCGATAAATCGTTTTATAAAACTCGAGAATCGCTTTATAAAACTCGAGAAATCATTTTATAAAACTCGAGAATCGCTTTATAAAACTCTAGAAATCGTCTTATAAAGCTCGAGAATTGTTTTATAAAACTCGAGAAATCGTTTTATAAAGCTCGAGAATCGTTTTATAAAACTCGAGAAATCGTTTTATAAAGCTCGAGAATCGTTTTATAAAACTCGAGAATCGTTTTATAAAACTCAAGAATCGTTTTATAAAACTCGAGAGAAACCGTTTTATAAAACTCGAGAA